CAGCTCCCCATCCCCCACCTCTCTGAGATTCTTCCAAACATCTTTTCCCAGGACCACAAGGACTTCCCACCTCTACTTGCCAACTCACAGGTATAGTCTCTGCAATAAATTATCTTCTTTGTTTAAGTGACAGTTACCCTTCTAGAAGGGCTGAAGATAGAGATCAGAAATACTGAGAAGGACTAATGCATTTACAAAGCGTAAATGACTGAAAGACATTCCCAGATCTTAAGACACACTTCATCTATGGGCAAGATTCACCAAATGCTAGGCAGGATAAACGAAAAAAGAAAATACATGAAAAGAATCTTATGAAATCTCAGACCATTCACACACAAAAAATCTAACACCTTCTCAGGAGAGCATATAATCAATCACTTACAAAGGAAAGCGATCTTGATTGATACAAAACTTTTCATCAGTAACCTGAGCCACTAGAAAACAATAGAGATAAGCTTTCAAAACATTTAGGGGGAATTATTTTGAACCTAAAATGTCATATACAGCTAAACAACTAAAGAGAATTATTTTGATATATACACAGATCCAGTAAACTTATAGCCATGCAATGTGTATGAAAAAGTTATTTTAGGATATGCATCAGTAAAACAAACAGACAAAAATACTGTTAAAGGATGAAATGAACATGTTACTGCAAATGCCATTTTTTTAAAAATTGGAAATCATCATGTTAAGTGAAGTAATTTAGGCACAAGATGACAAATACCAAATGATATCACTCATAAGTAGAATCTAAAAAAAAAAAAAAAGTGGTTCTCATAATAATAGAGAGTAGAATAATTGTTACAGGGTGGGGGAGGGAAAGGGGGGAAATAGAAGGGGTGGACTAATGGGTACAGAACTATGTTATCTACCCTAAGTGAATCATTGTGCAGTATATGCATGTATTGAAACAACACACTTTACCCCACAAATGTGTACAATAAGTGTCAAAATATTTTGAAGAAAATTAAAGTTAAGAAAAAAAAAGATGAAATGAGAATGAAGAAAAAGTTGCTGTTGAATGAGACCTATCAGGAACAAAGACAGTGAAAAAGATATGAAAAATAGATTCACTGGGCCTTGCAATTCTGGAAAGGTTCATGTGGGTGCATAGAATTACACTGATTTGTCCAAGTGAGGGATGATGTTGTATCGTGGGTAGCACATGCAGTCTGGAAGCAGATTACCTGGAGTTAACCACTATTTATAGTTTGATTTGCACAGTTTGGTTTGTAAACTTTGCAATTTTTTTTTCCTAAATTAATACACAGGAACCTATATACAGACATATACCAGCACTTAGTTA